TGTAGGGTACTTCCCATTCTCTCTTCTATCAGGTTCAGTGTGTTCAGACTGATATTGAGGTCTTTAATCCATTTGGACTTGAGTTTTGTGCATGGTGATAGATATGGATCTATTTTCATTCTTCTACAGATTGACATCCAGTTTTGCCAGCACAATTTGTTAAAAAACAGCTCCTTTTAAAAAGACATTATTTTGACAATTTTTAATTGTGTGTGTGTGTGTGTGTGTGTGTGTGTGTGTGTGTAAGGTGCCCATAGAAATCAGAGGTGTTAGATCCCCTGGAGCCGGAGTTACAAGTGATTGTAAGCCACCCAACATGGGTGCTGGCACCTAAATCAGGTCCTTTGGGAGAGCAGTAAGTGCTCCTAACTGCCAAACCAGCTCTCCCGCCCCCAAAACATTCCTTATACATTTTCAGTAAGAAAAAGAAGGAAGCAAATAGCATGTTTTAAATATCAATATCATAAACAATCTGATATACTTGAGCGCAGTGAGAACTTGGAGCTGTCAATAAGCCTCTACCCCAAACTGTGACAAAGCACTTACAAAGTAAAAGAGGAGAGAAAGCCCTTCCAAGAACGCAGGCTGATGTTAAACTGTGTGATAAATACTGTTTGAATAGTAGATGGTGATTCTGAAATTAGGACCATTTTCAGTCTTCGAAATAATTATAACGCACGGTTTCCAGTACCCATAAAATGCCTTGTTATTTGGCTGCCACACCTTCTTGGAAGCTTGTTGTAGCTGTGATATATTGACTAGACTCTTAAATGAAAGGAGGGGGGGGGAAATCTCCTACTAATTATATGAGTTATTTCCTGATGTGCTACACATAATGGCAGGCTCTTCTAGCGGGCTTCATCCAAAGTAATTAGTTTGAAAACCTCTCACCAGCATAGGCTGGGGCACCATCTTAATAAGTGGGTGTAATCTGTGCCAGTTGCACCTCTCATTTCACTGAGCCCACAATTAGGAAGTCAATCGTGACAGAGCAGACTTCTCTGTGCTATAGCAGAAGTGGATCTGGACACAGTGATAATCGGCTCTGGCTTTTAGCACGCCGGCTCTGTTGTTACCATCTTATCCACACTGCTAATGTTGGAGTGTCATCTGTGTCTGCTGGTGGCGCAGCACAGGTATGCAAAGTGGGCATTAGACTTCTGGGGTGGCCAAAAAAAAAAAAAAACCCTTTTAGAATCTCTTTAACGGGGTTTTGCAGCTGAATATTTTATAGACAAAATACACTCCCTGCAATGCCAAGCTAATCTACAAGCTACATTCACTTTTCCTACTAAAAAGGAAAGAAATGCAGTTTTAATTACAATGCTAATGCTGAAAGACAAAAATTATCCAAATCTTGAATCAAAACCAGAATATATCCCATTTAAACTACTGCTGCTTAGGAAGGCCAAGGTAAGACTGATGTACATGCCCAGTTAGCTGACGCAGAAATCTTTGTCTGTCTCGTTCCCCACCAGCTCTTGGCAGAATGTCAACGTGTGTCTAGCTGCATTTTCATTCCTTGACTTTTAGATTCCCATGAAATTAATGAACATCACAAATCTGTAAAGCGGAGAGGCCAGGAAAATGCCTGACCATATATGCCCAGACAAAGCAAATACATTTCTCAACTTTGAAACAGTTGTCTGAATGTGATATTACAAGTATCTCTACTTGGCATTTATTCTTTGTTCCAAATGGGATCTGAAAATGATCAGCAGCAAGGGACTGATTTCAAGAAAGGATCACAAGGAAGGAACACAGGGCCTGCCAATCCAGCCAGCCAGGAGCTGACCCCTGAACAATTAAAAGTTGACTGAGATTTTGGAAGCAAGTCAGTGGCCTCAAATCTCCTTTGCAAGTTTTGATCTGCGGCTATGAGCCCAATGTCCTGTCTAAACTGTTTGAGCCTTGCTTTCAAGTTCCTTCTTGGAGGAATAGTCTGTGACAACTTGCCTATGGTGCCCTCAAATGGCATAGTAAGCTCCATGGATTGATTAGAGTTCAAGTTAGGGCTGCAACATAGAAGAAAGGAGTCGTTCTAACTGTATTCCCCCCCCCCAATATTCCCCGATAGCATCTGAAACAGCTTCTGGTCCCTGCTTCCAAGCTGGTCCCTTTTGATAACTTACAAACATCCCCCTTTTAAGAGTGCAAAATCCCGGGTGGTGGTGGCACACACCTTTAATCTCAGCACTCGGGAAGCAGAGGCAGGCAGATCTCTATGAGTCTGGAGCGAGCCTGGTCCACAAGTTCTAGTTCCAGGACATCTAGGACTGTTACACAGAGAAACTCTGTCTTAAAAGAACAAACCAAACAAGAGTGTAAGTCAATCACATAATGACCCGAGAAGTTCTTGGTGATGTCCAGTTTTAAGTCATAAACTCGTGAGATGAACCCTGTTGTTCAGCGGATTGTAGAATCTCCACTTTATCCTCCTTGTTCTAGCGAGGGACAATTACTGTGGGGAAGTGCTCCTGTTTAGAAGATACCATTAAAGAAATAAGGCACAGGATGTCACGTGGGTCCTGTTTAGGGGCTATCAACTCTCTGTTCAGAAAGTTAAACCAGGTAACATACAGCTACTCCTACAGGACAGGATGAGAGGCTTTCACAGGCAGATTGAGTTTATTGCCAGCCATTCACTGCACCAGTAACAAAGCATATTTGCATGTTTCCAAAAACTAAGCTATCTTCCAGAAGAGGCTCCATTGACTTTGGTTTCTTTCCGGCTCTCTGAAATTACTAATTGACCATGGGACAGCTGAAGAGCGCCACTTGATTGACCCTTTCTTTCTTGCAAAAGGCACAGGAGCACTTGGGTGGTGATTTTACTGCCTGTGGATTTTCTAGAAAATATTGCTAAGTCAGCCACTTACCCTACCCACACAATCCAAATGCACGCCTCTGAGCCCTGCAGCTTTAGGAAACAGCTACCACTTTGGAGGGAATCCCAAACATATTGACAATGTTTCTTTTCCTAAATCGGGTTTCTAACAATAGTCTTTAAGGAGATGGGAGCAGTTCTCTCTGGTTTTCTGGAAATACACATTTTCTCCCAGGGAAGAGCTGCATAGAAGGCCACATGGCTACCGAAATCTTTGTCATCTTTTGTTCATTTGTAGTCACTTCTTTGTTATCTGATGTATAAATGACATGTCTATTTTTTTTCTCTGTGCAGCCCTGGCTGTCCTGGAACTCATTCTGTAGACCAAGCCGGCCTTGAACTCAGAGATCCACCTGCTTCTATCTTCCAAGTGCTGGGATTAAAGGCAGGAGCCACCACCGCCTGGCCTGACACGCCTATTTTTGATGTGCTCACTTATACATTAGCTCTTAATACCTCTTGATTCTTGGTAGAAATTCCATTAAATTTATTGTGCTACGTGTTTTGTATCCTCCACATGACACCAGAGGAAACATCTCTCTAATTATCTCAAATAGAAGAAATATTTCAGATAAGGAAATATAAAACTTATACAAATTAGAATCTCCAAAAGAGAAGGATCCCAACTGGGATTCCAGATGAAACTCTAGATCAAATGAAATTAATAAGCAGAAACTTTGCCTTTTTTGTTGTTGTTGGTTGGTTAGTTTATTTATTCTTGAGGCAGGGTCTCACTGAGACTCCTGCAGCTCACTGGCCTCGAACTCATAGATCTGCCTACCTTGGCTTTCTTAGTATAAAAACCTTAACTTTTCTAAGAAAAACTCTGTGAGTTTTGACAAATCTTTACTGCTGCATGACTGCACACCACTGCTTCTGAAACCTCTCACTCGCAGCATCCTCCCCTGCTTCTTGCATTGTCTTCTCCCAGGTACCCAACAACTGTTTCTTACAGTTCTTGCCCCTTCTAGGACGTGTATGGCTTGAGTCATATAGCGCATAGTCTTTGCATCTGGCTTTTTGTGTGTCAAGTGGTGTTTAGGAAATTCATAGGAGCATGTCATACTTTGCTTATTGACCAGTTTATGGGGGCTTTAAAAAGGGCTCAGAAGCTCAGAGCAGGTACACTCCAGTCATGAGGACCACAATTAGGATCCATCACCCATGTATCAAGCCAGTTATTCCAGCAGTGCCTATACCCCAACTCCAAGGTAGGTGGAGACGGAAAGATCACTGGGCTTCCTGGTTTCCAGCCTAGCTGATAAAAATTCAAACCCTGACTCAGGAGGGTACCTTCCTCAAAAGGAACAGGCAGAGAGTGGTGGAAACTAGCTAGTACCAACTTCTGACCTAACAACACACAAACACAAAAATGTGGCGCAAGCACACAGACACAAATGAATAAATAAATCTACTAGTCGGTGGTCATTAAAATTAGCATGATTTTTAGTTAATTTTTAATATATATATGTATATATATATATATGTTTGTGTGTGCCCATATGTGTGAGTTTATGTGTCCCACATGCAGACAGGTGTCTTTAGAGGCCAAATAAGGACATCAGATCCCCTGGAACTGGAGTTACAGGCATAGGGTGCTAGAAACCTAACCTGGGTCCCCTTGACAGGTTTTGACAGTTATGAGCATGATGTGGAGTTCTTTCTATGCTTACGTTTTCAGTTCAGGTGGATTGATATCTAGAAAAGAAATGGCTGGGCTCATTTGTGTAGAGTGCTCTTTGAACTTCATTGGAACTCTGACGCTGCTTTCCAGAGTCTGGGTGCCATTTGTCATCCCCACCCCCGGTATGAGAGACTCTGGTTGCTCGGCACACATCAGTCTTGTGGACAGAGTCTTAACCCAGACTTCTGTTCCCTCAATGGCTGGCTAGCCCTTCCAGTTCACTACATGGCTAGACCCTGGCCTGCCTCTTTGTTGTGGAACTGTGATGCTCTCCATGGGTTGGCCATTGGTGATACCCGAGATGAAGACAGTTAGTATGTGACCACGGATGCTGATAAATACCAACTACTGGTCATGCTTTTGGCTGTCCCCTCAGCATATTTTTTATTAATGCACACACCAAAAAGATGTTATGTTTTTTTTTTTCAGGCTCTTTGACCATTCCATGGAAGGGTTTAAGAACTGGGAGTTCATGACCATACATTGCTGGGGAGAACGGGCTGCTGGTGACTGGATCCTTGAAGTTTATGATACTCCATCTCAGCTGAGGAACTTCAAGACTCCAGGTGAGAAATCATTTCAAATCCATCTGTGTTGTAGAAGGAAATGGTGGACTACATTTGAGCCAAAGAATGTTCCCCACTGGCGCTACCAGATTGACTTGGTCATAACCTCGTAAAGAAAAAGGATCTGTTTACCTTACGGTTCTGGAGGCTCATTTAGCAGCCTACTTTGCTCCAGAACTAATCCACTCCTGCAGGATCCACTCACTCTGAGAGACCACCATTAATGTATCCACGGAGCTGGAGCCCCATAGCCTAACTGCCTTCCAGTAGACCCCACCTCTTAAAGGTTTGACTCCCCCAACTGCACATAAACCCATGAGGGATGTGTCACAACCATGTCCTGACAGAACTCCTGGAGCGGCGTCACCATTCTGTGTGTGAGTCATTTCATACACACGTTGGATTATCTGTGCATCTTCTAGTCCTCAAGTCCTCAACAAAATGGGATAATTTAATAACATGAAACCAAGAGCAAACATTTTGGTATAAAGGAAACACAAATCCTGTAGCACCTACATCTGACCCTCTTTTATGTAGTTTGTAAAAAGCTAAACTTGTTCGCCTGCAATGCTGTAAATTTCATTATGGGCACATTAATTCACAAGAAAAGAAAACTCTTTTAAATGTACAGTCTGGAGATTACCATAGGGGATCCTTTCCAGCCCTCTAAGATTCCATAATTGCATGTCAGTTGACCCCCTTCATGCCAGTGTGTGTATTCATCATATATTAAAGGGATGCACAGACAAGGGGAACGTGCATTGCCCACGATAGGACACTGGCAGTATCTGACTCAGAAATGAGTCAAGTTGCTCGTAAGCATGCAGCTCCCCACCCATCCACAGACCCCTCTTCATGCCTTCCCTGGTGCTCTGTCCATTTGCAGAAGGGCCATACCTGAGAGACACTTCAGGACTTCCAGCCATGTTCTGACTAAGAACATGACCAACAAGATAGTCCATGACTGTAACTCACATCCAGTGAGCTGCAGAAAGCAGAGGTGCTCAGGAGAAGTTGGGGTAAAGCTCAGGTTCACCCCCGCTTTGCCTGCCTGTCAAGGAACAGGAGACATCCATTTGGACCATTATGCTTTGAGTATCTTGACCCTCAACTGTTCCATGTATACAGTTCTATACTGCCAGGTAGGATCTAAGGCTCTATAAATAGGGAGGCCGAACCCTATGGTGTGTCCAGGTGGAGGCTTGAGAGATGGCTTAGCAGTTAAGAGTGGCACTGTACAATCATAAGGACCTAAGCTCAGATCCCAGCACACACCTAACAAGCTGGGTATCCTGGCATCTACATACCTGTAACCCCAGGAACAACTCTAAGAAGGAGAAGAGACAAGAAGTCATCAAATAAATCACCCACACCCGGTGGCCATTCTCTTCTCCCCAGTGCTTATGCATGCTGCTTAAAATTCTGACACCAACAGCCTACAGCTTGTGAAAAGTACGGCAATTAGCAAAGAAAAGGTAGCCAAGAGCAGACTACATACAAACCCACACTCTACCAGCTCAACACATAGGTTCAACAACCTGAATGTGTAACTGCATATCTGTGGTTCTAAACTTATGGTGGCTCAGCTGGAAAGTCTTGGACTTGGAGCTGGCCAGGTGGCTCAGTAGGTAAAGGCACTTGTTATCAAGACTGACTACCTAAACGGAATCCCCAGAACCGCCATGGTAAAAGGAAAGAACTGCCTCCCAAAAAGTGTCCTTTGACCGCCATACATGCTCATATACATTCTTAGTTAATTAGTGAATTAAAGATATTTTTGTTTTTAAAAGAGTATTTGACTTTAAAAATCACATAAATATAGAAAGAAATAAATTTAAATTCACAAAAAACTGTACATTATCAAAAAGTCACTAAAACACCACATTTGGTTATATAAAAAGTCAGTCCCTTTTGTTGTAAAAGGAACATGGAAACTTGGTGTTGATGGTTTCTTGTTGTTACCAGATAGGGGAGGGGACACAAAGGGCAGGTTTTTTTTTTTTTATTTTTAACCTGCTTTCCCTACCAAATACTCTGTCAATAGAGAAAATCCACCGAGCAAATTTATTTCTTTCTATATTTTTAGGACCAATCTCATTTTTAATAAGGTTTAAAAAAGAAAAAAGTGTAGAGAAAAAAAAACCTCGTTTTTGCGATGTGATGTTCCACAGGTGCGGCTGTAGAAAAGTGCTTGTCATTGAATAAAACCACATTTGATAGAGAAAAAAAAATATCACATAAATAAAATGCATTCAGAATAATCTTAGTTTTACTACTTTTCCCAGGCTAGTCATGTGTGACTTTTCCTTTAGGTGAAAAATAGTCCATTCAACCTGAGATATGGTACATACAATAGACCAAAAAAATCCACCCATGTCTAGCTTGATGAACCACTGACTTATTAGGGTAACATGTGAGTGAGGGGTCCCCTACAGCCCACACTATCTAGGAAAATATTCTGCAATGATGTAGTTTATTTTCCATGGCCATGGATTTATGACTCAGTTCCATCTTGAGGACATGAACCTTTTAGTTAACTTTAGTTCATTTACATTTAAATAGCCAAGCATATCTAATGACTGCACATCAGACATTTTTAGAATCATCTAAATACACATTCCGAACAACTGATTATGGGATTAGGTGGCGAATTTCTTATTAACACATCAGACACCACTAAAAACATCTCAACCACTGAGGTAAGACCTTTGTACCCCAAGTAACGAAGTCTTCCCTAGACAGCTAGTAATCTCCTAAATATTCATACTTTGCAGTTCATCCCTTGATCCCGCTATAGGAAGGATGTTTATTTCCCAGTTTCCCTGCTGTGGGTACACAGTGAATGTGTGGAGTGTGAACTGGGAAATACTTAGTTCTGTAGATGCTAGGACTGTGCACTTCTCCCTTTGCATTGGCTATGGTTCCTGTCGGCCTTGCCGTTCTTCCAATGTGGCTCTTTCTTTTGAGAAGGACTAACGTAAAGAAGTTAAGTAACTATCTGAGATTATCTGCTCACGCACCGTATTTGTTCCTATTTCTCAAGGTAAATTGAAAGAATGGTCCTTGGTCCTCTATGGCACATCTGTGCAGCCCTACTCCCCAACCAATGAGTTTCCCAAGGTAGAGCGCTTCCGCTACAGCCGGGTGGAAGATCCCACAGATGACTATGGTGCTGAAGATTATGCGGGTGAGTTGGACATGGGAAAGCTCAGGCATGTTCCTGGCATGTGGGATGACATGCTGGAATAGATGTAGTGAAATATGCCTCAAAGGTGTGGTATGATATACATTCTATTCAGCATCTGTCCATAGCCTGAAATATTTTCCTCCTCAAATATTTGTGTGTGCATTAGTTTTTAAATGTTTATAGCTTTGTGTTGCTCATAAAACTGAACATGCTTTCTCTATAGTTTTCAAGATTGACTGTTGCATTGGTTTGCCCAGTTTCTATTCAAGGTGCTGGCCATTCCCTTCTCTGCCTTTAAGAACTCAGTAAGCTACGGCCTTCCACATTGTCTCCCGGCTCCTGAAAACAGCCTCAGCTGTCCCTTTTTAAAGTGACTTTTATTATGCAGTTTCACAGAAATCACTAATAGAGGGCATGACTTGTACTTCAGATAGAACATTTTCATCACTTATTTTCAGAAATTTTACCCTTTAATATCAGCAAACTATCCACATGTTTTGTCTTGGCAATCTCTTTATGTTCCTCCAGTTGGCTGTTTCCATCTGGATGGGTTTGGTTTGATGTGTACAGGGCGGATTGAAACTGACTTTATTTTCCAAACAAATGTACATCATTGGCTGAGCAATTGCCCCTTTTACCAACTCTGATGCTTTCTTTACAACAGTCTAGTGAGTTCTTATATGAAGGTCTCTGCTAATTCACTATTTTTAAGTCATCAACATAATAATTCATAAACCAATATCACTTGCTCTAGTATCTTTCTCAATTTTGTTTTATGGCTTTTTTTCCCTTTCTCTTCCCCCCCCCCATCATACTTTGTTTTCTGTTACTGTGTAGGATGAAAAGCAATGTGAGAATGAAAGGCTTTATTTTAGCTTGTTGTTTATAGTTTACTTAGAAGGGAAGTCGGGGCAGGAACCGAAGCAGAGGCCACCGAGAAAGAATCCTTTTCAGGCCTGCTTTCCTTGGCTTTCTCAGTTCGTTACCTTATATACCCCATGCCCACCTGCCCAGGGATGGCACATCCCACCCTGGCCTGGGCCCGCCCACATCAGTCAAGAAAATGCTGTATGACATACCCAGGGACCAATCGGACAGAAAGCAGTTCCTCACCTGAGGTCCCTCTTCCTGGATAACGCTGCAAGTATCAAGTTCACAAAATCAAACAGAACCACTAACTTCTCCTTCCCCTTCTCGCCTTTCTTCTCCTGTGCTGGGGGCCTGGTGTGCTGTGAGCACATACCCTATTTTAGTATTTGTCAAACATCTACTTCCAGTTTTTATAAAGATCGCTGTCCCCCTGGTCTTCAGATTAACTATTAAATGACGAAAGTCGCATTTGAGTTTCCCACTTTAACTTAATTGGAATTTATATGCAGTCTCATGGAAAGACTTGTTTTTGTATTAATCTTCCATATAAATTTTAACTTGCTTCATTTTACTGGAATCATTTAGCCTCCTATAATTTTCTTCTTATTGTTATACTCTGTTGTTTTTGGTCTCATTGCCGTTGTCGTGGGAAATAGCCCATACTATTCCACTATGTATACTAGTATTTAGGAAGTTTATTACTGCACTGTGTCTTTGTCTTTTAACTAAACATGTTGTCCACTTTTCTATTTGGTTTGTATGTTTTAAAGTCAATTTTCTAAACTTTTATTTTTACTTTTATTTCTGAATCCTGTCTTGTTGCATTGGCAACCAATTCTAGGGGCACCCTGCTCTTGCCAAATATGATACATAGCATCAATAGAAAAGTGTTTATGCATAGAAATGTGCTGAATTTTTAAACAAAGGTGTTTTGTTCTTATAGTTCAGGAATTTTCTCTTGATGCTGAGATAAATATTTTTAGTTAGTTATTTTATCAAAATATCTTAACTGTGCAGTGGGTTCTTTTATTGTAAATAGGTAGTATCCTAGAGTCAATAACATGCTTGGAAAATTAAGACTAAATGAGCTAACCAGAGCGAGATTGTGTCAGCTTTTGTCTCATCTTGTTTTTGCTTTGAGCTTGTCATGTTACTGTTTATATTATAACTAGAAACCATTTTATCTTCTGTGACAGGAGAAAGGGTATCCAACCTCATAAATGGAACACAATACTAAATAAGCTTTTATTCTTTCTTGCATCCCAAATTTAACAAATTCAGATTGTGATTTGATAATGTTAAAATTCAGAGCAGAATTACACATCCTTTCCCCTTTGCTGATTACATTTCTAAAGCAATGGTGTTGGCACTTGTAAGAGAACAAAGTCAATTTTCTGTCACCCTTCTGAAATTCACAATGTTGTACTGTATCTGGAGCAATTTAAGACTACAAAAGGAAGAGCATAGCACTTGAGCCTGCCATACGTAGACCCTTGGCATGCATCACAAATACATATTTGTGGGATTTTTAAACTTACAAAAATAGCATCTAGCAAAAGTTTAGGGCTAAATATGTCTATCTTTCTCTTTGTGTCTCTCTCTCTCTTTCTCGTGTGTGTGTGTGTCTGTGTGTGTGTGTGTGTGTGTGTGTGTGTGTGTGTGTGTAAACCCTTCACTAGAGGCCTGTCTTACTAGAGGCCCGGGTGACTGCTTCACTCACTCTCAGAGACTGTGCTACTACCTAGAGCTGCCTTACCTCACACCACACAGCCACCCCTCCCCTGGTGCACAGAGCTAGATGACTGAACTGTCCCAAGTTGTACTAGCTGTGAAATTTAATTTGGAAATCAATTTAAGACTCTTGGGGAAAGAGAAATAAACAGTGTTGTCACATGACTCTTGGAATTTGTCAGTAATTCCTTCAAGCCGTTGGCGTTTGAAAATCACTTATTCCATTCAGACCACGAGGACATTTCAAATACATGATTCGCTTCCTTTAAACAGATCTGTACCAGACCTCTGCATGTTTCTTGAACCCAGCTTTCCGAGTCATGTGATGCTGGGCAAGCCATTACAACTCAGACAGTCAGGTTCTCATCAGCGACTAGCACCTCTCTTTCAAGTTCTTCTTCCTAAGTTCTAGCATTTTATACTTGTGCACTGAGTAATCACAGAGCCTAGTTCTCTAAGGGCTAAAAGATACCTTGGGAGGTTTAGCAGTAAATCCCTTTGATTAAAGCAGGAAGAAATCAAGCGCTTGTGATTCCCTTCACCTACATTTTGCGTATTTCAGGAAATTATGTATTGATCTTCAAAATTACAAGAATCTCTGGTAGGAAGGGGTTTGAAAATGATGAATCCAAATATCATAAAAATTGGAGACCAAGAAGAAAGAAGTAAACACTTACCTCAATTACCCATGTCACTAGAATGCTCAATGTCAATCACAGCACAGCCCACCCCTCCAGCATGGTTTTTGCTTACTATGAATTGTTCCTCATGTAATAGCAAAGAAGAAGTGTAACATGAGAACTTGGGAACCCTCGTCCTAGGTGTGGACTTTTTTAGTCTCTTTTGCAGTTTTGAATTTACATGTCATCTCTTTTGTTGAGCTGCCCTTTGACCTTTGATGGGACACAAACTTAAATCTTTCTGTGCTTTGTGATCCAAGACCAGGGGCTGATAAGTGTGTGCCATATACCACAATGATATTTCATGATGGCTGTAGTATTTCAGAGATACTCAATGGCTTTAGGGACCTTACACCAGCTACAAAATCTACTCTTGGTATTAAATAATGGTTTTATTTTGTCAACTATCTAATTTCTCATTTTTCAATAAATAGCAAATGTTTTTGCTATGCATAGTAACTATGCTACAGTGGAACAGTTCATTTGAATTCCAACTGCTTACTGTCTCTCCCAAAGCCCCAAGGCTACCATATGTATTATAAATACCAAACCACGCCTATAACTTTTATTCTTGTCTCTTCAGCAATTGAGGTTTAGCTTCAATCAAGAGCTCAGTCTTGAGATTATAGCTACATTGACCATTGTTCCTCCATCTTAAAGAAATTGTCACTACGTGGTGGCAAGGGGCTAAAATATCTTATTCTATTCCAACTTCAAGACTAAACTGATTTACTAGCATCATTTCCTTTTTCTAACTTCTAATCACTTTTTTGAAAGGTCCCTGTGATGCTGAATGCAGTGAGGTTGGCTGTGACGGGCCAGGACCAGACCACTGCAATGACTGTTTACACTACTACTACAAGCTGAAAAATAACACCAGGTAAGAGACAAGCCATGTTCTCACATGAACCCTAAAGCATGCCCCTTATTTCCCAGACATTCTTGTGGGGCCATCCACATAGAGTACGTATGAACATGCTGTATTTCCTGGTTCCTCTTCCAGGTTCTAAACACAGAAAGGATGTCCCTGCTGAGGCCCATGACAGTCCTGTCATTCTCATGGGTGAAAACCCTACTGATTCACACAGTGAAAAATCGGGGTATTTACTAGTGACTTTTCTTGTCACTGTGACAGATCGCCAGTCACAGTCACAGAAGCAGTTTAAGGGGGGAAAGGATTTTGCTCACAGCATAGAAAGCATGGGAGCTGGGTCAAAAGGAGCCTGTCACATCGTGCCCATTATAGAAAAAAAAATCCTGGTGCTCAGGTGTCTTTTTGCTTTCTTTCCCCCTCTTTTTAATAATCCAGGGATCTTGTCTATATTCAGAGTGTATCTTCTCTCGTAGGTTAATCCTCTCTGTAAATACAGACACATCCAGAGCTAATTCGAAGTCTCTTCAGGTTGACAGTGCAGGTTAATCATCACAGGTCTTCACCTGGTCAACTCAACACTACAGCATATCACTATTAATAATGACATTCCACCTCCAATCCTCAAGACTCATAAACCTCTTATAATGTAAAGTACATTGCATTCTTATATCTGTAAGAATCCCTGAATCTTAACAAACCTAAAGTATTCAAAAACCTAAAGTCTCTTTAGAATTTTTGCATATTTACTCTTAACTTCAATCCCTTATAAAACCAGGTTCCATACTTACAGTATATAATGGCATGGAATACATATTCTATTTCAAAATTGAAGAATTGGGGTGTGACAAAGAAATATCAGACCAAAGCAAAATCAAAACCCAGTAGAGCAAACATGGAATTCTGCAGCCCTATGTCTAGTGTCTGTGTCCCTTAGCACAAACTGAGCTTTAACAGTCTTGGCTATACCAACCTCTCCACTTCTGCCACCTGTAACAGTTTCTTTTCGCATAAAAAGGCTCCACACATTGCCTATAGCTTTTTTTCATGACCATCCCATGGTCGTGGCATCTCCAGCATCCTTGGGTCTCCCTTGCAGCTTAGACCTTACCTTCCTAGCTTCACAGTACTTCTCGGAGCCTCCTTGAAGAGAATTTGATCTTACCTTACTCTGACTGTCCTCGGTAGCTTTCTAGAACCTTTGATAGAAGTCTTGATGACGTTGTAATGCTTGCTCAGAAAGGCCAACATTGTGAGTGATGCCATCAAGTTCTGATGTGCATGTGAAATGTAGTTTGACCCCCATTTCCCACAGTTGTAGTGCCCTGTGTGCCTTGGCAGTTAAACATAATGTAAATGTGTTTCTAAGTCCGTTGTTCTCAGGGCATCATCTCAGTTCAGCCTCCTCTCACACGGATTTGCACTGCCCTTCCACCCCTGAGTAAAAAAGCAACAGTGTGCAGGGTCTCTCACTAATGGCTTTTTTCATGTTGCTCCAGTAAGGAGTTTAAGGTTTCTCTTTAAGGACCGAGCCCTCTCAAGCAATTACACCTCTGTCCTTAGTGATGGTTGGAAACTCCCTTCCTCTGCTTCTCTCACCAGGCACATTGTTCACATCTTTCAGCACTTGCTAGCATCCATCTGACTAAGATTAGCGAGCAGTAGCCACATCCCAGCATGCACGTGAGGCTGCCTTAACCAGTTCCTCCACCTAACAGTTAAAACTTTCTAATTGAGCCAATGTTCAATACCCAGGCAGAATGTTATGTAAATGACCCTCATGCAGGTTCCCATAGAGCCCTTATTTCCCTCTGAAACCTCAGAACCTGGCCTCCACTGCCTGCATTTCTCTCAGCATTCTGACTGGTAAATTGCTATAAGGGTGGCCCCATACGCTCTCCTTAGAGTATTTCAGGGCTTCGGTAACCTGAATTTCCAAATGCTTCCATATTCCCCTTACCATCCTATATACTATGAGGTCAGGTTTCTCACAGCAGAAAATCCCACTCATAATACTGATTTTCTGTATTAGTTGCTTTCCTCTGGCTGGGACAAAATACCTGTCAAAAGTAAGCCAGAGAACTGTTTGTTTGGTTTTTTTGTTTTGTTTTGATTTTTGTTTTTTTGGTTTTTTTTTTTTTTGAGAGATGGTTTCTCTGTAGCTTTGGAGCCTGTCCTGGCACTAGCTCTTGTAGACCAGGCTGGCCTCGAACTCACAAAGATCCACCTACCTCTGCCTCCCGAATGCTGGGATTAAAGTCATGTGCCACCACCGCCCGGCTGAGAACTGTTTGTTGTGACTCACACTCTGAAGGGCTATAGTTCATCCAGATACCGTGGGCACGATGGTGAGAGCACGAGGCAGTTAGCCACACTGAATCAGCACGCAGACTCAGATCAGTGTAGGTACTTTCTCCCTTTTCCTTTTTTATTCAGTCTGGGACCCAAGGCCATGGCCTAGTGATACCTACATTTAGGGTGGGCCTACAATTCAGTCCCTGGAAGCCATGCTCATAGACATATCTGCAGCTGTATCTCCTAGGTGACTCCAAATCGAGTCAGGTTAATACAGAATATATGCCATGTACCTGCAAGTGCTTTCTTACTTTTGGAGGCATGGTGAGTGAGATCGGCTGTGTACTTAGCATGCTGGTCTTTTCCTTTAGTTCTTTCCTTTATCAATTAGCAAGTAAATTACATGTATTTATGGAATACCACTTGATGTTGTATATTGTAGAATGACTAAGGCTATTTAATATCTATATTCTCAATATGCTTATAATTTTTTGTAATGAGAACATTCTAAATTGACCTTTTTAGCAGTTTTCAAGTATGCAACATTAACTATTAACTCTAGCCACCATGATTTAAAAATTATCTGTTGAACTTCCTGTCTGAAGGTCTGTGTCCTCTTTACTTTTTAGTCCCTTAGTATTTGGTACACTGGTTATGTTTGTCCTTCCTGGACATGCCTTGGCCAAACATATACTTTCTGTTTACATTCCCTAACATACAACCATCCATGCTAGTCTCTGTTCTCAGTTTACTCTTCAACTTTAGACTTTGACATAGAGCCTGTGCCTCTCAGCCCCTGGTTTCTGCCTAGCTATACAAATGTCTTCCTGTGGACCCAAGCTACAGACTAATGCCTGCCCACACAAACCCCATCTGAGCAACATCATGTCCTTTCCAGCCCAGCCCACATTCTCATTCACTTTCAGATAAAATTGTCTTCTAGGAACACCTAAGCAGACACAGCAAAGCTCAGATTTCTGTTTAAATCCAAGCTCGAAGTTAAATGTCTCAGGGAAAAAGGTTCTAAGCTATCTCAGTGCTGGCGCAGTCTGTTGAACTAATCAAAATGTCTGGTATGTAATTTGTGCTCAATAAATGCTTAAATAAATAAGTAAAGTCTTGCTTTCAGTTATAGACAGTTAAGAAAGTTGGTTTTATTTTTTTTTAAAAGTTTTTGGTGAACAAAATTGTGTGTGTGTGTGTGTCCGTTTAGATAAAAACACACCACATCTACATACATGTACACACAAGCCATATGACAGGTTTCACACAGAAGTGGACAGAACACCTTATTTTAGTGAACTTTTCCATAAAGGAACGGCCCATGTTTGTTTTCCCTCCAATTCAACACAACAAGCTAGTCCTTGAGATTCCAACTGCAATTATCATTTCTTATAGAGGTAGACCATGAGTAGACGCTAGCAGACAATGAAATACCTGCTTAGTGGATGCAGTGCAGTCTAACTGTGAAGCTCCTCTGACTTCCTGGCTGGGAGGAAGCTTTATCAGACAGATTTGGTCCCTTTGGTTTGGTGTGGGCATCCCACTTGAAAATTAACCTGCAGGCAGCAGGCAGCCAATAGCTTTTCCACAAGAATGCTGAGGTCTGAGCACTGATGAGGACCCATTTCTTCTGCCATCCCACAATGCAGAATCTGTGTCTCCAGCTGCCCTCCTGGCCACTACCATGCTGACAAGAAGAGGTGCCGGAAGTGTGCGCCCAACTGTGAGTCCTGCTTCGGCAGCCACGGTGATCAGTGCCTATCCTGTAAATATGGCTACTTTCTGAATGAAGACACCAGCAGCTGTGTTACGCAGTGCCCTGATGGGTCGTACCAGGATACCAGTGAGTTGCTTTCCAGTATTTGGGTTTTGAAAAAGACAAGGTTTTTATTTTAGTAGCTCCATGCATGGGATCTGGACTTTGCTTAGCACCAAAGAGAACCTAGCCAGTTCATCAAAGAGATACTTCAGAATTATTGTGTAGAGGTGTCTGTAGCCAAGGACCCTCTCAATCCCTCCCACCACAATGACTTACTACTAGACTCAGAATGCTGGAGATATAACTGCAGCTGGAATTTATTAAAGCAGAAGGATGCAGAATCAACTCAGCAAACGGAATTAGGGAAGTCTACAGGAATCTAGAACTATGCTTCTGAGAGTGCGCACTCAACAAACACGTACTTAATCTCCCCCCAACAAACACACACAGCCGTCTGTGATATAGCATGTATGAAATACAAAATACAAAATCCAGTAGAGATTCCAAGTCCCCAGTCATCACTAGGAGTTGAACAGGTAGACACTACCTGTTCTACCCAGAACACACCATCAACCATGCTGCTTGTGTGGTTTTCACAGTATTAGCTAGTCTCATCAGAGTGATGGAAACTCTCCCTAAATCCAAGTTCCCAGGAGCCAGCTGGGGGCCAGTCTGATAGGAAGGATGGCAGTCAGACCTGCTCACATCTGCACATTAACCAAACAGGGCTTGCGAGAAGATGCCAAAGCATGAAAGGTAGCATGGACATGTGTCAGAGACATTCTACTCATTAATGAATAAATTGACATTAAGAAACAAGTGAGAGGAGAATGGGCTGTGAGATGATCAAATACTGTAGTCCCCTAGGAAAGGGGGAAAGAACCCCTTTTATGGAGCTGCTGAGGTGGCTCAGTGGTTAAGATTGTGGGTCAGAGGGTCAGGTCCTCCACAGGACCTGAGTGGCGTTTATGATGGCTCACAACACCTGTAACTCCAGTGTCAGGGCATCCAGTACCCTCTTCTAACCCCTGAGGATACCTGCATTCACACGCATGTACTGACACACAGACAGACCCATAATTCTACAGAAAGACAGTAAAGGAAGCAAGAAAGGGAGGCATGGAAAAGAAAAAGGGAGAGTCTTTTTATTGAGTTAGAGATGAAACCAAGTTAAACATGGCAATACAAGCAGGTTTGGGGCGGAGGTATTTATTTCTCACAGCCAGAACATCATTGTTTTACTAAACAGCAATCCATACATTAACGTGTAACTTCTCAGAGGTTGGCCCTTATTAGCTGTAATTAATAAATAGGCAAGACCCTGTGGTCAGACTTTGCTTCAGTATGGCCCTCCCAGGGTTGTAGGTGTCTCTGGCTTTGTCTCTGAGCTCTAGATAATTTGTCACCCCCCACACGCAGTAAGTGTCATGCTGCTGCACGATCTGAGACAGTTCTCTCTAAATATTGGACAAAAGTCTTGCCTCTTCAGAACTGGAGTTCTCCAGCTGCAAGATGGGTCCGCCTGCAAAAGTGCATGCCATATAAGCCTGACACCCTGAGTTCAATGCCCAGAATTCAGAGTGGAAGAGATTGATTAGACTGCCAAAGATTGTCCTCTGACCTCTCCTGCACACACACACACACACACACACACACACGTTCATACACATACACATGGTAATCATAAAGAAATAAAGAAATAATTTTTTACAGAAGTGAAATTCTTTTTTCAAGAGTGGCCATTTCTCTATGTAAATCAGGCCCCCATTCCACCCTTGGGAGGAATAGGGATTCTGCTGAGGTTCTTATTTGCCTCCAAATTTGGAACAGGACTTCCACCTTGATAGGTGGAAGATAAGAAGAGTTTTAAGAGATCCACAGAAATGCGCGGTATTTCTTAGAGAGCCTTGCATGTGTTAAGTGTGTGTTCCGTCACCGAGCACCCAGCAGGCTGTTTCTTTCTAAAGAACCTGGGAGTACTCTTGAGAAGCTGTTTGGTTACTTCAGCCACCATATGGCATCGGTTTAAGTGGTCCCTGTGTCTCTCCTATTGCCTTAGTTACAGTTTCTCCCTCCAGTAAGCCCATTTACATACAACACAGTGATCAGGTATGACTGTGGCTACTCATAATTACTGAGAACACATTCACAATGATTTATAGTTGATCTTTTCCTTTTGGATAGCCCCATTAACTTGCCAACATAAGCTGAGAGGTAGGGTTCACTATAATCTTCTTCACTCAAGAGCTCGGAGTCCAGAGACACTGAACTTGCCCAGTGGAAGAGCTTTTGCAGAATGCAAATCCCGGGCCTGTGACTTCAAGTCCAAGGCCAGAACCTATGTTCTTAATGTCACAGTACGGGCTGCTAGAACACTGCCAAGGGTTTTGCATTTCTTACTGAAAGACACAGAATACCCAGTAGGTCCATATGGGAATCCATCTCCATGGAACCTCGATGAACATCAGCACTGAAAGAGCAGAGAGAGGAGAACACTGTGAACAACATTGGGTGGGAGGATGGACGGACAGATGGGTGGATGAACAGATGGACAAATAGACAGGTAGACAGATATTATTATTGCCTTTTGGCTTAACAAAGCATGTACTCAATTTTCAGCAAAAATTTAACAAAGCTAAAAGACTTTTATTAATATGCCAAGTCACTATTTTTCATAATAAAGCCATCATGTTTGCTGGGCTTTTGCAGTGTGGACCTGGGTTTGTTATTGAATATGAAAATTTATGGTGTATGCATTCAGACTAATACACTTCGACAGAACATAGGTGTTATTGGAACAAAATCTTTTTACATCCATTCCATGGCACTGTTTGAGGTGACACATGAAATCTTCAGTGTCCAATTCCTTTTCTGCCACGCTCACCAGATGGTCCTAAAAGCCTTGAGCAAGAAGGCCCGACACCCCATGTCCACAGCATTGCCTTCATCACATAGCAAAATTGCCCTCACTTCCTGAAGGAGATTTCCTGTTGTCGAGCCAGGAAACCCTGCTTTGAAAAGAGATCTGGAAGAAGTAAGAACTGTAACGTTTTCAGCTGAGAGTTCCCACAGTCGTCCGCATCTTGCCATACGAGTGCCTGGTGCTTCCTGGGGTAACAGTTCATGCCATCAGCTGCCTAAACTTCTCAATGCAGCCTCCAGATGAGCCCTTAGGCAGGAGAGGGCGCATGAGTCTACACAGGAACATCTCCATTCCCTATGGAATGCGGTTGACTGACATATGCCTGTGCTTCCTTGCTTTTCGACAGAGAAGAACGTTTGTGAGAAATGCAGTGAGAACTGTAAGACGTGCACCGGATTCCACAACTGCACCGAGTGCAAGGGCGGGTTAAGGTAAGAGGGTGAGATCCAGCGAGAGACACCGCCGTCAGGGACCTGTGCCGAGTGAGGCTGACAGAAACCGTGAGAGTCAGCACGTAAACCGTTCTCTTCCATCTGCCCTAGGCTTCACCCTGACTGAAGCGCTTCCCTGTTATTTGGATTATTTCAACAATTAGATGGGAAGAAATGGGATGCTATCTTGGCTAAGGAAGGATTATATACCAAGTAAATTCTCTGTAAAGAAGATTTGGTGGCTAGAGAGATGGCTCAGCAGTAAAGAGCACTTGCTATTCTTGCAACTGACCTGGGGATCGAGCCCCAGCCCCTACATGGTAGCTCCAGTTCCAGGAGCTCCAATGCCCTCTTTTGATCTCCACAGGCACAAGGCAGCCACATGGTTCACATACATGCATGGAGTTGAAACAAACACACAAAATAAATAAATCTACAAAAAAAATTAAAATTGTAAAAGAAAGATGGCTCGGATAAAAGTAAAATGACCACTTGAGAAGCATCCCTTATCCATTTTGACTTACATTGTGCTAGTCAAGAATGACTGGGCAGATAGTGCCAGTAAATACTCTTTAATCTGCCTGATTCAATTCTCAGTGGTGGAAAGTTATTCTCTTATCTTTATTCTTTCTCTCCACACACCCCGCCATTCGCTTATCTTAAGTACCTCAGGTTCAGTTCCATTAGACTATCTGCGGTGCGCACACAGATTTAACACCAGGAGGTGTTTTCCTCCAGTTGATGGCTTGCTCGTGGCCAAAGCGGATATTCGGTAGACCGTAAGAGAACAATCTGCAGCGCAAACGATCGTGAAGCCTCTGTCCTGAGGACAAGATCAGCCGCTTTTATGCAGAGTCCTGTGCAGGGCTCTGGCTTTGTGTGGAGGTGGCACTCGACAGTGGATTCCTTTCGGTAGTGGCAGAGTATTTCACTCCATCCATGTGTGATCCAAAGTGAAGGAGCATAGTGTAGGCAGTTACCAGGCTGGTACCCCGGGCACTCATCAGTGTGGGGACATAGCTTACACCTATCCATTGCCTGTGTCGTTCTTCTTTGTTTCCATAAACGCTCTTAGTAACTTAGAGCCTTGCTGCTCAGTACTTGATAATCTTGATAAATACAAGTCCACTCAACTTCCTGATTCTTCTTTTTAATTTTTATTTTATGCATATGTATTTTTCCGTATGTATATTAGTCCACCATGTATGTGTCTGGTGTCTATGGAGGCCAGAAAAGGGCACCAGATCCCCTGAGCCTGAGTTATAGACAGTGATGAGCTGCCAAGTGGATGCTGGGAATCAGACCTGGGTCCTCTGGAAGAACAGCCAGTGCTTGTACCAACTGAGCCATTTCTCCTGTCCCCCACTTAATTCTTCATAAAGGAACAGGGAAATGGTGCAGTAGAAATCCTCTTCGGCCATTTATTAACTGTGATTTCGGGCAAGTCACTTAACCGCTGCTGCCTTCCATTGTTCTCATTATAAAATGGTAAAAGTAGCCTCTACTTTGTAAAGTCTGATGGCGTTTATGAACTGCTTACATCTGGTACGTAATTAGTTCTTAATTTTTTTCTCAGAGAACAGTTTATGGAGTAAGTTAAAGCAGAACGCACAGCAGAAATGTGAGGGCCATGTATGGAACTGCAAATGTGCCCGTAGCTGTATTAAGCGGGGTGAAAAGCTATAAGGGAAATGATTTCAATAAAATACTTCACTTAGCCCAGTATATCCAAATATTATCGTTACAACATGTGGCCAACGTAAAAGGAAACTATTTGTGAGCTACTCTACATCCTTTATTGTCTTATTAAGTCTCTGAAGTCTGGTATATAAGTTCTTAACATATGTTTAAGACTTAATAATGTTTATGGGAAATCTCTGTATTAAGATGCTTTTAAATCTAATTGAGAGAGCAAATTTTATAAAGCCACCATATTCCAAATGTGCTGAGAAGTTTGCAATAACTGAATCTAGTATAGCTTTTTTTTCAAACATAGATATAAATTAATAAAAACTGAATGGAAATTTAAATTTCATTTCCCACCTCAAGAGCTCAGTAGCTGAGTGGTTGGCCTGGACCTGAACTAGCCAGTTTATTCCAGAAGGAATAGAGGCATCCCTGAACTGGCCTAGCCCGGACCTGAGCTAGCCCATTTATTCCAGAAGGAATGGAGGCAGCCGTGAACTGGGCCAGTGGGTCTCAGATGACCGTGTTTTGAGAGCAGCTGACCACTCAGGGTTCAGTGGCCCGCCTCTTTCTTCATCAGTTCCTACACAGTGCAGCCTCTGTCTCCTCCTGAATGCAAGCCAAGTTCAGAACGCTGTTCTTTCTTAGAGAGCCAAGGCATCTTTTCCAAAACTGTGGTACTTTATTTCGAGTGGTCCTTATTTCATTCCACAAAAGGATCCATTTGATGCAACTATGCTTTTCTGTAGAGCTGGAGGAAGACAGTGAGAACCTGGTTGACAACAGGCCAGCAAGCCCTGAGAATGTCATGCACTTTTGGTGAAGCTGCCCTTTGTCACATCGAGGCTCCTTCCTAGGTGCTTCTGGGCTGACCATGTGATCTCAGAAGACCTGAGAAGTAGCTAAGAACAAGTACAAGGAAATGCCTTTGCCTAAAATCCAAAAAGAAAATAATTAAAGTGCTAACAGGAGTGTTTATGATTCTTTTCTTCAGCTGCTTTATTTTTGGACTTCCCCAGTTTCTTGAATGAGTAGAGGGTGAAGTAAATTTTAGTTTTCAAAATTAATATAACCCATATACAAAGCAGCCAAGTAGGATATAAATTGGAGCAATACAGAATATTAAAAAGTAGAAACCATTTGACCGTGTTTCATAATTACACATTGTCCAATAGAATTAATTTGATCACAGAGATTACACCCACTCTCTTTCAATTTCCATTCCATGATTTTTTATATGAAATAATATACATTCTCTTTATATTTTTAAGTTTAGGATTCAAACTGTAAGCTTGGTGCCGTGACATGCACCTGTCGTCCCAAAGGCCAGAAGGTCATTCTCAGTTACATAGCTAATAAATTCAAGGCCAGGATAGGCTGCATGAGAACCTGTCTCAAAAAATTAATTAATTAGTTAGATAATTAATTAAAATTTAGGCTATGAGCCATGTCATAGCTGACAGAAATTTAAAGAAGAAAATGCTTACATTTTTATTTTATATTGTAGAAACTTAGATATGTCTCATAGTCATAGCTAGAGAAGTAGTAATTTCATTAATGTTGTAGAGATACCTCCAGGAAAAACTAAACACTAATACAACCAAAGAAAGTCAAGATGTCTGCACAGTTGTGTTTTGCTGATTGTTCATCAGAGTGACTGAAGTGAATGAGGCAACAGAAGATGGCAAAGCTGTAATAAGATGTTGCAGCCAGTCAGAGTTTTTGTTGTTCTTTATGGGTTCGAGTGTTCTGTCTGTACCACATGCACACCTACCCACAGAGGCAAGAAGAAGGTATCAGAAGAAGGTTGTACGCAGTCTTATGGGCGCTGGGAACCCAAACCGGTTGCTCTGCAAGAGCCGGTGCTCTAAACCACTGAGCCATCTTTCCAGTCCTTTGCCAATACTTTTTAAGACTCTGTTAGATCCTGAGTAGGGTTGAAATATGCCGGGTTAAGTGCCAAGAAAGGTCTAGAGCCATTTTCTTTGTCTGGCAGCTCTCTGGTCTCTGAGCAGAGATTGTACCTGTTACATATGGAGTCTTGTGTCTCACTGTCACTTTGTCATAGGTCAACAGTCTGTTTATGGGTTGTCTCTGTTTCTCGCAGTCTTCAGGGATCCCGCTGTTCGGTCACCTGTGAGGATGGACAGTTCTTCAATGGCCACGATTGCCAGCCCTGTCACCGTTTCTGTGCTGCCTGTGCCGGTACCGTCTCCTACTCCCCCCTTATTTTATTTTCCTCCTTGTGGCTTTGGTTTTATTTGGCCCTAGCCATCTTTCGTGTAACACTCAATATGTTCCAAGTGAGTGTAGAAGGCCACATGTCTCCTGATAATCGTGCACCAGTTCTCACAAAAAGCCAGTCGTCAGCACCTTGTCCTCACGGGGAAACTTAAGTATCACAGTGGCATCTTCTGCTTGGAAGAACAGGTGTTCTTGGCAAATAGACTCAGTTAAAAACACAAGAGTCCTTCCAAACCCCACTGAAGGAAAGTAAGAAAGGGGACTATAACGTCATGGCTTAAGATGGTGGTAGATGGGTGTGGTTTTCACAGACTTCTATGGAATTCCATACTTCAGCCTCTTCTGAGGGTTTTTTTTTCTTTCCTGTTTCTTGCATGTGTCTTGCACTGAAGGGGCCGGAGCAGACGGGTGCATTAACTGCACTGAGGGTTACGTCATGGAAGAGGGGCGATGTGTACAGAGCTGCAGTGTGAGTTACTATTTGGACCATAATTCAGATAGCGGATACAAATCTTGCAAGAGGTAAGTCCGTCTGCTCTGACCCTAGCCTTGATATCCCCGCAGGACTGCCTTCCCACGAGATGAGAAAACTGAGACTTTGTAATGATAAAGTACAGTTCGGTCAGTTTCCTTCAGACACTGGCCTGCAGAGTTGGTTCTGTTAACTGGTGTTTTGAATGCCTCAGGACCACCGTTAACGTGTGTGTGTGTGTGTGTGTGTGTGTGTGTGTGTGTGTGTGTGTGTGGTAGGTGCCTGGAGGCCAGAGGTCAGCGTCCAGTGTCTACCTCCACTGACCTTTTATTTTTTTGAGATAAGATCACTCACCAGTTTGACCAGATGGTCAAGCACAAGCCTCCAGGACCTATGTCCCTTCCCAGTGCTAGGATTCTAGAGGCACAACCCCACACCTGCATTTTGACATTAGTACTAAGGATCTGAACCTTACCAAATTAGACATATCCACAACCCCAGTTCCCCCTCACACATACCCTAGAGCTTTTAAAATAACACTTCTATGTCTGAGACATGCTTTGCCCCCTTGGGCACCAGTGTCTACCGGCCATGTTTCCTCTAATGTGATCAAACCTATAAGGAAAGGGCTTTTTGTTATCTTCAAAGGAAGAATTAGTTTTAAATCACTAAGAGCTTGATGGTAAATGTACCTTCCCCCATGCAGATGAATAAGAGATTTAATAAGTTGTGTGTTTTGCCCATAGATGTGACAACAGCTGTTTGACATGCAGTGGCCCGGGCTTCAAGAACTGTTCCAGCTGCCCCAGTGGATATCTTTTAGACTTGGGAATGTGTCAGATGGGAGCCATCTGCAAGGATGGTGAGTACAACTAGCTATGGGATTTGATCTGTGAACTCTCCACTTTACAGGCTAACGTATTTCTGTTTTAATAGAGAACCTAATAAGCATGTTTTTAACAGGCTGTTCTCAGTATCTTATTGCCATTCACTCACCTTGAATGTACACGCTTGCTGGGTCCTGTTGCTTTGTATTATTTTGTTATTGCTTGAAGATAGACTCTTACTGTATGGCTGAGGCTGACCTCAAACTCATGATCCTCTTGCGTCAGTCCCTAGGACTGTAAGCATGTGCCACCACACCCTGCTTTGTTTCTCTTTATTTTTCTTTTTTTAATTTTGGGAAGAAATAAATCACCTGCAATCCCAAGATAGTTCCAGTTAGCTGTTTTAATTAATAAACAATTTTTCAAGGCAGCTTTCCCTTCCTAGAAAAACTGAGCATATGTTAGAGATTGCCTTTGTACTCCAACCTACACGTGTGCATAGCCTAGCCTTCCCCACTCTCAAAACCCCACAGCACAGGGTTAGATCTGCCACATCGCTGTCATCTAAGTCCATGGCTTTCATTAGCATGCGTTTGGGCACCAAACATTCATTGTGTTTGAGCAAGCATACATGGCACGTGCCTGCCATTATCACATCACACAAGATAGTTTAACTACCCCAAAAATCCCTGTGTTCTTCCCCTCACCACCCTGCCCGCCCTGAAACCTTTTTTTATACTGTCTCCATAGAGTCTTTCTTTGCAAAATATCTTATTTTTATGATGTATGTAGCCTTCTCTGGTTCGTTGGATTTTTAATTGTTTCTTTCCAGTTTTTTGTGACATGGAACTTTTCAAGATTTTTTTTGGTACCTCATACATAAAGCCTTATACCCTCTCTTGATCAGTAAACATTTTGCATCAATATCTTTTAAGTCCTGTGTTTTATAAATTGTTGGACATTGTATTTAATCCTGAAAATATTCCCTAACATTTTCCACTCTCTGATTATTTGGATTTTTCATTACTTTGATATTTGAATCCTAGTCAAATGATATCAGAGTGTTTCATGAGGTATGCAAAGCTAGGAACTAATCCAGTCTTCCAGCAGAAAACCCAAGATGTGACGCCAGAAAATGGCAGACGAAGCCTCGAACTTACCGGCTTCCAAGTGTGGGGCCAGTCTGCTTTCCTTGCCATTAGCGGTTTTTGTCCAAAACTCTGGGACCCACACCATCCCCAAAGATTCTGATTGGACTGTGCGGGGTGGAGTATGACATGGATATTTTCAGAAACTTTTACATGTTTCTAATTTTCTTTTTTTTTTTAATATTTATTTATTTATTATGTATACAATATTCTGTCTGTGTGTCTGCCTGCAGGCCAGAAGAGGGCACCAGACCCTATTACAGATGGTTGTGAGCCACCATGTGGTTGCTGGGAATTGAACTCAGGACCTTTGGAAGAGCAGGCAATGCTCTTAACCACTGAGCCATCTCTCCAGCCCATATGTTTCTAATTTTCAACCTGGTCTAAGGAGCCATTTCCCCTACCATCTTGGCACCTGTCAATTCAGCATATTTCAATTATTCCAATACCAACATTACCGAATCTTGATTTTCTATATAGTAATTCATGCCTGAACATTGGACCTAAACTTTACACGTATCTCAGTAGGGAAATCAATCATATTTGATCTATCGTTCAACATGTCTTCGGAGACTACATTTAGAATAGTCTTGGTCACAGGACTACAGCCCTAGGGAAAGGCAGCCAGCACTGTGCCTGACAGGGCATGGAATTAGGCGTCTGTATGCTGTATGCTGTATCCAGATCTGGGGCTTCTTCCCTGCCACACAAAGTGAGGGAGAAGACACTTGACCCTGTGTGGTTTTCCCGCAGCTCACTATTAGGAACCTCTAAAGGACATGGCAGGACGGGAGCACACGAGGACACAGATACAAGTACATTTGTGCTTTTGTTTCCTCGAAGCATCTGGGTAGCTGCCATCTTCATCGTGTGTCTGATGGACAGGTGGTGTAGCAGGATAGGCTCAGCCCACCCCACTTTGCTTCTAGGTCCTGCCAGGGCTAATTCTCAGTTTACCACTCTAGGGGAAGAAACCTGCAGTTAGGGGCACCAGAGCCGTCTAAGCATCGGCTTTCGTTTGCCAGCACGTGCCCTCCTGCCTGACTGTAAAAACATGGTTCCTTTATACTGGAATACAACCAGTCCTTTCTTTTTCAAGTCAGTACACAGGTTCCTGAGGAAGACTTAAGTGATTGACAGGCGCGGGACCTTGAAGTTTTCTCCTCTAGCATCTGGTACAAGGCACCTAAAGCTAATGATGCACTCACCCTTGCTAAGCCATGCTGAACACAGGCTAAGTTATACCAAATGGCAGCTTGGTTAGAGGAAAGCGTCATTGAGAGTCGTAGTTCACAGAGAGGCCACTTCCAGGCCTGATGAGGAACGAGGGTTTTCGAGCCTTCAGTTACGTGGCAAATGCTCTTAGAGACTGCTGTCTGCTCCTTTTCAACTGTCATGTTTCCATGATTCTAAGACAATCCTTTTGCAGTTTAGCGTCACAGAAATCAGATCTATCTGATGGGGGTTAAGTGGCACTGCCTAGACTGGAGACTTAGCCACAGACATGTGCATCAGTTGAATGAAGCTTGAGGCCTCCTGGTTTTCATGTGTCATTTAACAACCACTCAAATGAGCAACACCAAAGTACTACACGCAGAGCGTTATATCACACGCTGTTAATAAAATTAAAGTTCCAGTTGCTACCAGAGCACGGTATCACAGTGTGAGTCTTATTACCTCTGTGATCCTGAAATAAGGGTGAACCTTAAACCTTGTGTCTTAGAGTCAATGAAATATGGTACAAGTGGCCGTGTATTTTCTGCTCTAGATACTTCTGAGAAGAAAAGTTCTTGCCTGTGATATTATTGATTTCTAATGTATTCTTTTTTTCCAATCTCTTTTTCCTTTCACAAATGGATACCAATCACATTTACTGCTGGACTGCAAAATTTCTCCTTGAAAACCCTGCTGTTGACTGAAAATCACTCTGGGTGGACCAAATTCCCTCCCTGTTGACTGCTCCTGAATGAACCTCTTCCAACCCCCCCCCCAAATCTACCTCTTTGGCCAATCAAAAAACCTCCCTCCGTGTGTCCTGCTGCTCTCGACTCCACCCCCCCTCTCTCTTGCTGACTTCCGGAAAAGCCACGGAAGAGTCCTGGGCGGAAGGAGGCTTCTGTATGCTTGTGAAAAAGAACAATCTGTGTCAGCGGAAAGTTCTACAACAGCTGTGCTGCAAAACATGTACATTCCAAGGCTGAGCAGCCGCCTAGTCCTCGTTCCTGTAGACCTAGAGATTATTCCATATTATTAAAGAGAAAAAAAAAGCCAAAAAATGCAAAGCACCTCTCTCTTTCTTGCTATCTTTTTTTTCCTCTCTCTCTCTCTCTCTCAAGTTTGTGCAGGGAGATGGTGAACTGTTTTGTCAAAACTTAAAAAGAAAACAAATAAATAAACCTACAACAAGCCTACCTTTTAAAACTGGATGTTTAGTGTTAAACAGCCAGAATCACAGAGACAGTATTGTATAACCAAAGTATCTGATGCCAAAATTTGAAGTTAAAGTAATGATTTGATTTCCTGCCCTGGTTTGAAGGTCCATTTTATTCCTTTTCATTCACTCTCGTTTCTCCTTTCAAATGACTGAAAATACATTTTTCCCAAAAACATCACAAGCGCATACATAGAACGAACAGACAACTTTTGCATGGGTCATTTTTCCGTACTGAGCCTGCGGCTTGGGGAAAACGACCGGAAACTGTACCGTAGGGTACTGAGAAGATCCCACAGAGTGTGTCCAGTGTCCTCGTCTTTGCGTTCCACGGTTCCACTGTGATCCTTCCCACACGTGACTGGCTTTGTATGTTGTGTGCTGGTTTTCTGCACTTTTCCCTCCTGATAAGTCTGCTCCATTGGCCTCGTCAGGTAGACTTTCTGCCACCGACTTTCCAAACACTGTCCGCCGGGTTACTTTTCACACAGCTGGTAAAATGGATTGCTCCGTAGACTCGAACGGATGGTAGAGGCGCGTGATGCCCAGAAGGGCTGAGGCTGACCCAGGTCTCCTGGAGCCCAGAGTGTCATTCTGCAGGCCCTGTATAACCCTTTGGTGCTATCTCGTCTTTGCCCCCGTAGCATTTTCTTTAACTGTCGTCAGAAATTCCATCTGTCACAGAGGGAAGCCTTTGAGACTGTTGAGACAGCATGCAGGGGATTTCTTCTTGTGGTCAAAAGCTTCTCAGAGGTCCTGTACATTTTAAGAAATGGAGTTTATTTAAATACTATTTAAGCTCATGCATACACTGGTGGAGCCGAGTCTTTCAATGGTGCTGATTCCGAGCTGTCTCATCCTGGCCGTTGTCAGAGAACGAAACTGGAGATTGAATGTGGGTGGCTCGGTTGTACCCTCTTGGTTCTGTCCCTTCTCCCTCTCCAGTCCTCCTGTAGCTAAGGCCATGTTCTTCTGTACCTGTCCGCTGAATGTCACCAAGCTGGGGTTGCTCTATCTGTTTGTCTGATTCACAATGCGTTCACTGGTTTTTTTGTGACTCAAACATTTCAGGGCATCTAGAATACTGAACGATAGAGAAACAGCTTGAATCTGTGGTGGAAAAGGATGAAACCTAACATACCTTTTTACACTTCCTCCGAGAGTAACTGATTTCAAGCTCCTTCCTTTCTCCTACCAAATCTCCATGGTGACCTCATTTACCTGTAGCCTGACCAGGCACCTTCAGGCTCTATGTTCTGGAAAGCTACACTTCTGAGATGCCGGGACTTCAGTGCTAAGAGGAGAGAGGTGAGCTGGGATGTAGATGCTAAAGTCCCTGCTCACACAAACAGGTAGTAAGCCACATGCCCTGATGATCTCCCTAGACAGCCGAGTTCACTTCTAGCTGCAGATAGATAAGGAATAATCAGCCTGTTGAACCCTTCAATAGCATTGT